TGTGTCACGCTTTCCACCACGGAAGCAGAGTATGTGGCAATTGCCGATGTCTTGAAGGAAGTGTTGTTCCTGAGGCAGGTGTGGCGTTTTATGTTGCCAGATGCAGGTATGCCGTGCATCCCGGTGTTCGAGGATAATCAGGGAGCGATTCAGATTGCGCACAACCCGATCACGAACTCCAACTCGAAGCACATCGATGTACGGCATCACTTTGTCAGGGAGCTGGTAGAGAGGAAGGGGATTTCAATTACTCATGTGCCGACGCAACTTCAGCATGCAGATTTCTTGACGAAGGCTATTAGCAAGGAGTCTTTTGCGTTGCACCGTGACTTTGTGATGAACTTGCAGTGAAGGAAGTGTTTTGGGGTCGATTCGTATTCTGTGATGGAGAGAGTGAGAGAGACGAGAGATTGGACAAGAGAAAAGAGAGAGTCTGGTGAAGGTTGGAGGAGTTGTTGTGTTTAGTTTTTCTTGATTGTTTTGGAGGAGTTTTGATTGTGTTTGATTTTTCTTGTGATGGACTTGGAGGATTTTGGATTGTTTTGGTGAAGATATTGGTTTTTGTTTGTTTTGGAGAGATGGTAAAGAGGAATTTGGTTTTTCTCGGAGCATGACGATGCATACGAGTAGGGGGGCTATTAGATATATNGTGGAAGTGAGAAGAGTGTGATGGAGGTTCAGAGAGATCCGTTTGGTTGTTTGAGCGTGATGAGCGTGACGCGTGCTTGATGCCGTGACAGATTTACGAGCGCGAGCACGCCCCACAAGAATACAATACGTTTTCCCACCACGTCTTCTACCCATCTACGGCCCGTCATGGCCAAGCTTCTCTACACTCCCAACACACAGATCTGAGCCACCCGAATTATCGATGAAGGGATATACCCATGTATCCCCGGGTGTTCTACCGAGGCATCGGTTCTTTGGTGTCCCGTGTTGGGGTGTTTGCTGTGCAAGACCGACTCTATTCTGCTGTATGTGTTTGATACGGTATTGTGAAGGCGTTCTGTTTTACTGTAACCGTCAGGTGCNTGACAAGTCGTCTACGAGATTCGCGGTCGAGCTTAGTTGAGGAGTATCGGTTTGCGGCGATCAGGAGCAGGATCAAGATGTACGAACACGGGCGCGAGAGCGACGTCGCCCGCCGAGCAGAGCAAGCAGCAGCTGAGGAGGCTCGGATAGAGGAGATGGCGAACCGGAGGCTAGCAGCCAGGCTGGCTGAGATGGAGGTACGACAACAAGACGAGCAGCGACGCACAGATAACATCCGGAACGGGCACGAGCAACAAGGGGCACATCTACCGCAACACGCGGGGAGCCCATCGGCCAACCCCTCCGCCGACAACATCGCCAACGCGATCGCCAACGCCGTGACTGGCCGTCTCCAGACCACATCCGGGGATTTCGGTAGGGTACCGCACGTAGGGACTTTGCGCATGACTGTGACTAGGAGGCTAGAGCCTTGGGACGGCAATTTCAAGCCAGGGGAGGATGAGCATGCCAAACTCTTGATATTCAAGTCAAACATGCTTGCGATACTTGCACAGGAAGGTGTTTATGAGGTCGTGATGAGTGATGAGGACATTCATGTTGGAATAGACATGGCTGACCTGAAGAGAAAGTACGGGGAGCAAAAGGTGAACTAGGCGATAGCGGCGTGGAACTCGCTAGTCACACCAGTGACTTACCTGCCAATCTTGACCCAGATCATCTCACATGGTAGCCCGAGTAGAGGGTGGAAAATTTTCCTCGAGTACTACGAGCCCCAAGCTCATGAAGAAAAAACACGCCTTTCGTCAGAATATCACCGCATTACGATGAAAAAAGGAGAGACTCCTCAGGAGTACTTCGGTAGGTTTACCGTTTTGCGAAACCGACTAGCCTCGTGCGGCGTGATTGTTTCCGATGATGATGCGAGCAGCCACTTGGTTTTCAACCTGTCGTCTGACGTATGATTTAGAGAGGAGAATGCTGACCAAGATGGACGTGTTGGCTCGGCAGAAGATCGAAAGGACTGTGAGGAGTACCTATGCGGATCGCGCGCGCGCCCGGGAGGAGGAGCAGACGAGTGGCGTGGGGCACGCTTTCGTCGCTTCCGGTGCAGTCCGGGGCGACGGAGGTGTCGAAAAGGGGTCGAGTGGGAACGGCGGCGGACAGGACGGCAAAGGTGGCGGTCGGAGTAGGAGCACCGAAGCCAGAGGAGACAAGCGCTGCGAGGTTCATTCGTGGGCGTTTCACACCAACGCAGAGTGCGATGCTCAGAGGAAGCAGCGAGAGCGGAAGCAGCGGGCTCAGCAGCAACAGCAGCCCCAGCAGCAACAGCAGCCCCGCAGCAACCGCAACAGCGACAGCATCAACAGCAGCCGCAGCAGTACCAGCAGCCTCACCATCAGCAACAGCAGCATCAGCAGCAGCAAGGCGGCCGCGGTGGGGGGGGCTGGGGTGGTGGACCTCAGCACGGACCCCACGGCGGACACGGAGCGCAGCAGCGGTATGGATACCCGGCTCTCCCTCGCCCGCAGCAGCAGCATTGGCGACCCCCGCACGGGCATGCAAACGTGATGCACCAACAGTATAGTGCCACGCCCTATGGGGGGCCCGCGAATGGTAGCGAGTATGGGAGTTGGGAGCAGCAGCAGCCACCGTACCAGGAGCCTCCGCCGGACTACACCCAGCAGCACCAGCCGTACTACAAGCCTCCGACACCGTACTATCAGCAGCAGCCACCGCCGCAGCCTCCGCCTCCGCCGACGTTCCAGCAGCAGCAGCCGTCGCAGCAGCAGCAGCAGCACTCCACCCATGCCCCGCCCTACTCGGCTCCTCCCGGAGCAGCAGCACCGTCCCCCTGCTCACCTTTTGTGCCTGCAGGCGAGATCGTACCTAGTGGTATGGTAGCAAGTAGCGAGCGTGAGAGTGTTAGAGGATTTGCTTTGGCTGCACGAAACCCGGATTCTCATTTTGGCAGAGAGTGATTTTGGGCCGACAGCCGCCCCACCAACACGTTTGTTAGCAGCAGCAATCAATTGTTCGACTTGAGGCCAGTGCCACCCGGTAAGCAGTACATACAAGTAGGTAACGGTGCCTATTTGCGCGTGCAGTGTGTTGGCAAGGTAAACATAGCGTTTCACATGCCCGGCCCTTCGGGCGAGACCGATTTTTGTGTACAGATGTCGGACGTGTACGTAGTCCCCGGCATCACATTCAACCTGTTTTCTCTGCACCGTACGCAGCGCAGGCAGAAGATCACGTTGGACGAACATGGCGTGCGCCTCTTCAATGGTAGGCTTACCTTTGCTTACTGCGACGTAGGATGTTCCCTGTTGGCCACCCGCTTGTCTCCGGAGTATACTGGTAGTGCTGTGACCTACAGCCCCGATGCCCCCCCCCCGTGTTTCTACCCAAGCCTCCCCGCCTAGCGTTGGCACAGTCCTTGTCGCGGCAAATCCCCATTTCCCACAGGGTGCAGGAGCGGGCACGACTTCGAGTGCGAGTGCGAGTTCCGGTTTCCAGTCCGTCGCTGCGGCCGGCGTTGTACCTGCGAGTTCCGGCTTCCAGCCCGTCGCAACGGCCGGCGTTGTACCTTCGACTCCTGGCGTCCAGCCCACCAAATCCGACGGTGTAGTACCGTCGAGTCCCAGCGTCCCCTCCACCGCTTCCGGTGTAGTGCCACCGCGTTGTGCATTCCCGCCCATCGACGTAGATGAGTGCTAACGACTATTGCCGACTTCCAGCCTGTAATCACAGCTGCCGTAGCATCGTCTGAGATTGTTTCTCCCTCCGTCGTTGACCCGAGCGATTTTCGTGAAGTTGTGATCAACCCCCTCATCCCCCAGGACCATTTGCCTCTCATGGATATGAGCATGTTCCTTGATGTTGGCCTGATGGATGGAAAAGACTCGGTCCCACAGGGTGATTTTTTTCCGGATGCGCTTGATGTTTGCGATTCTGCAACACCCCCTCCCCCCCCGTTTGCCGTGATGAGTGATGAATTGGATTGCCTAAGAGGTTTTGTTGCTGGATGCAATGAGCAGGAAACCGTAGCTCCCCCCTCCCTCTCGTATGCCTTGGCGATGATCGCCCCCGGTGCTTCCCCCATTTTCGGTAGGAAAATCCACGCCCACCATCGATATTCATTCGTTCCATGCCTCCACCGGCCATGTCAACGAATTCTTGATGCGTGAAACGGCCAAGCAGCAGGGCGTACGATTGGTGGGGGAGATGCAGCCGTGTGTGGGCTGCGTGGAAGCGAAGGGTAGGCGGGCCCCGGTGCCGCGGCGTGGCACCCGCGCGGCGGTACCGTTCGGCAAA